GAGCGCCTCTGCCGAGCCTCCTGCCCTGTGCGACGAGGGGCCCATGGGTATCGCAGACACAGCCCCGTTCGATTTCTCTGCACCCGTGTGTGTGTGTGAACGTCTGCCACGCACGAGCAACAGGCGTGCAAGCAGCCCTGAGCAGAAGCCAACGGGTGCTCAACCCTCGTACAAGCGATTCCCCAGGCAGCTGCCCAGCCTGAAAACAGCCCCTCACTGGTACAGCTGCTCCCAGGCTGGGGAGGAGCTGAGCACAGCCTCATGACCTGATCTTCCGACAGCTTGTCCTCTCCTGTCAGCTCCTGGGATTTTTCACCCAGGGCCATGTGGCCGCTCCCAGCAAATCCCCAGCTCATTTTCTGCTCGCCCAGGAGAACCCGTTGCCCCTCGCTGTTGCGGGCAGAGACAGGCTGGCAGCAGAGCCCCAACCCCAGCTCCTGCTGTGCTCCTGCACGACCGTGGCCAAGGTCCGGGCACTCACCTGCACAGCCCACAGCGGCATTTTTCTATCCACCCAGAAGATGTGTGACCTGCAAAGAAAATTGAAAACAGCTCTAAACTGCAGCCTAACTAGCAGCACCTTCACCCCCCACCAAATGCAAATCTGAGGCCAGCACTGATGCAGGATCAGGACTGGTACTGGTCTTCCTTACTGGACAGTTTGTTCAAGCAGCCTCTGCACTGAGGACAAGCCATCCCCAAGGGTGCAGACATGGCACTTGTCAATTGATTTGATCCTGGGAGGGTCCCCCGAGCAGCCCCGTGACCAAGAGATGGCCACGGGCAGCTGCCGGCACCAGCCACGTCCATCACTGCGTTCCCGCATCCTGGCAGAGCTGGACCCCAGCCCTGGAACAACTCTCGACTCACCAGTTTATCTTCGTGGACTGGTTGAACGCCGTGTAATTCTGCTTTTCACATTCCCAGCTAGGAGAAGAGAAAGACATAGCAGGAGAAAGCAGTCAGCGGGGAAGGGGGGAGGACAGAAAAGGGGTGCTGGCATCGACTCCCCGGGCTCCTGGGGTGCCCTGGCCGCTCTGTCCTGATGCTGGGGGAGGCCCCAGACACGCTCCCTCGGGGCCAAACACACACTGGTCTCTATAGCCGGGGCTTTCCACAGGAGCCCATCTCACCCGGGCAGTTTTCAGCATCTTATTGCTGCGGAATAAGACCCCTCGGGTACTTCAGCCCGTACCAGAGATGCTGCAAAACGCTGATACTCGCCAGGCACAGGGCTGCAGCTGGGAATTGCCAGGTTACAATTAGCAAAAGCTGCTGAGCTTTGGCTTCTAGGACAAGGCTAGCTGGGCTCCGAGCCGCCGGCCAGCCGGGCAGCACCGAAGCCAAACTTCCCCCCGCCTTGCTGCGAGGGAGCGTTCCCACCGGCCAGCCTTTATTTTGCCACACAGCCTCAGGAACGTGGAGTTTCCTGAACTGTAGCTGTGCTAAAGCTTTCCAGGATATGCACCTCTGTCACGCTTAATTCTTACAGATCTGAAACCACTTCTGGACAATGCAGGTGTACTTGGTAGTCTGCAACCTCTACAAAGAGAAAATCCAATTGCTAATTCTCCTAGCTCTTGGAAAAAAAAAACCCACACTGTATGTGAGCTAAACAAAGCAAGGACATAGTAAAAATAGGCTTACGCTGAAACCCAGGGCAAAGCTGATGTATGTAATCATCTGTCACCCTGGGAATCTAAATGGCAAAACACGTTTCCTTCCCAAATGCTTAAATGGGATTTAGCATAAGTGTCTTCAAGGGCATCAGGGTTCAGAAAATACTTGCATGGCGCTGCCCTGCAACCATGAGCTCTTGCCTGCGTCTGAGGCCACGCTGCACCCCTGACCGTTAGAGCCAGACGGCATTTGGAAACGAACGTGACGCTGAGCTTTTCCACCCCCTTCCCGCTGTGCACCGTGCGGGGCCGGCGGCCGCCCACGCGCCTGCCCACGGGGTTTGGGCAGGGAGCAAAGCCCACCGGGACCGGCACGTTTGGCTAAACTATCGATGCAAACAGCCGGAGCGAGAAAAGCAATCCGTCGTGC